ATTGGCATGTTAATCACCTAGATATAGGATAAATGCATGTGAAGAAATTGATTAGTAGAAAAGGAAGAATCCTTCTTCAACTAGGAAACTTTCTCCAATTCCCGTTTTAGTATTCTGTTTGTATCTCTTTGTTCAATATCGAAATGGCTCAAATCCCACGTGATTGAATGGAAATTCGATTATCTACAATTTTGTATTTCACGAAAATTTCATGAAACGGATGTTTACCTTGTCAAAACAGGGTTGGAAGACAGAATGAATTTTGTATATATATATATCTTATCCCATAATTGTTTTAACCAATTTGGATAATTTGTATTGGTTGGGTGTTGACCTAATAATTCTTAATATTTATATTTGACATGTAACGTGTTATTTGGACATTGCTAAATTGTGTAACATACGTGTTATATACTCCTACGTGTTATACTGCTACACGTAAATAAATAAATATAACCTAATTAACTAATAAGTTGTTCGTTGATATTCATCATGTTTATATATGTGATGGTGGTGTTGATGAAATCATAATAGGTTGTTTATTTAAATTTATTATATGCTTGTAACTTGCATAAAGTGCCTATGTATGATTTATTTCATAGTTAATTGTAAAGTTTGGTACATGATTAAATTGGAGGCATGGATGAGTTGTTAAAGGCATAAATAAATTGTCTTATTAATTGTATGAATAAAATGTTAGACATAATAAAAAATGCTTTAACAATACAATAATTAGCCCATTAGGATTCAACTTTAATGCACAAAAACACAATGAGTAATAAAATGTAGAAGTGGTACATCTCTTACCTTGATCCATTATGAGTAAGAGATTTTGAATCTTAGTTATTAATGCTGACTGAGCCAAAAGTTAGGTTCCGTATATTCTAAATAACCAATGTTAAAATTATAAGATCTTCAAACCACTTCATTCTCTATAGTTAATGGGTATTAATTGTGTGTTTCATTTCACAATTCACGTTATAAGAGAGTATAGTTTGGGACCCTTTTATATAACATTAGTTCATTAAAGTTAGTCTTCCCATAAAAGACTTTTATATTTTCATAAGAACACCAAGAGTTACAAGAAATCTTAACTCTTCATTAACTATTCATTAAGTGAACAATAACTTCAAGAGTTACTAAAGGATCACTTAACTTTTCATTAAGTGACCACTAACTCAGATTCCATTAGTGAAGTATTAATCACTTAATAAATAAAAGAGTATATATGTAACTCAAATTACATTAGAAGTCTATTTATCTTTACACTTTTGGTTTTTTTTTTTCATATAGGTGCACTTAATATTGGATCACCTTCCAATTAATTTCTTAAAACCCTCTTCACGGAAGTATCTAATATAGCATATGTATAATAATGTAAAGGCCACATAAAAGAGATAAATTTCTAACAATCTCCCACTTGGCCTACATAATTATACCATTTATTAGATTATTCACATAATATGGTCATCATTCTTTTTCAAAGAAGAGGTTGCACCATCTCCATTAGATTCTGTTCAATGAAATAACTAATGCCAAACCATTGTAGTTATTGAATCACTCATCGATTCAATACCATTCAACAATTATAGCATTAATACCTTCATCAACATGAATCGGTGAGATTTAACTAATACTAATGACATTAGCAAAGTAATGATGATTAGTGCTAATTCATCATTAACGGTCCAGTATTGCTTTTATATTTAAATGTGTACGAAAGTTGAAAGCAACACAACATAATCATCATATTGTCATAAACATAATGTGATCACACCAAAAATATCAATACACTTTTAACCCAAACATAAAAGACTTTCCACCAAGCCCATGCGCGCAACATGATCCTTAAAGAGCTTAGGTGAGAGACCTTTTGTCAATGGGTCTGCTAACATGAGTGTAGTACTGATATATTCAATTGAGACAATTTGATTCAAAACCCTTTCTCTCACAGCAAGATACTTGATATCAATATGCTTCGATCCTCCAGTAGTTTTGTTATTCTTAGAGAATCGAATAGCAGCATCATTATCACAGTAAATTTTCAAGGGTTTTGTAATCGAATCAACAACACTTAATCCTGTGATAAAATTTCTTAACCATATTGCATGACAAGTGGCTTCATAACATGCTACGAATTCGGCCTCCATAGTGGAAGAGGCAACTAGTGATTGCTTTTGACTCTTCCATGAAATAGGCCCCTCTGCTAGCATAAAAACATATCCAAAAGTAGACTTTCGAGTATCCGTGCATCCAGCATAGTCAAAATCTGAATAACCAATAACCTCAAGGTTATCTGTCCTTTTATATGTAAGCATGTAGTCTTTAGTTCCTTGCAGATAACGTAGTACTTTCTTGACTGCTTTCTAATGATCAATACCTGGATTACTTTGGTATCAACCAAGCATACCTACCACATATGCTAGATCAGGACGTGTACAAACTTGAGCATACATAATACTCCCAACTGCAGAAGCATAAGGAATTCCCTTCATTTGTTCCCATTCAATATCATTTTTGGGACATTGGAATTCACCAAATTTGTCACCCTTAAAAATAGGGGCAACAGTATTCGAACAATGTTGCATGTTGAATCTTTTAAGGAACTTATCAATGTAGGCTCGTTGGGATAATCCTAAAAGACCACGAGACCTATCTCGGTGAATTTCAATACCAATAACAAACGATGCTTCACCCATATCTTTCATATCAAAATTCTTTGACAGGAATTGTTTTGTCTCATGTATCATTCCCATATTATTACTGGCAAGCAATATATCATCAGCATACAACACTGTAATACAGATCTTAATCCCACTGATCTTAAGGTATATACATGAATCCACTAGATTCTCCTTAAAACCAAAGTTGGTTAAAACTTTATGAAACTTAAGATACCATTGTCGAGAAGCCTGCTTTATACCATAGATGGACTTTTTAAGCCTACACACCTTATGGGTCTTGCCTTTATCCTGAAAACCTTCAGGTTGGTCCATATAGACCACTTCATGCAAGTCACCATTTAAGAAGGTTGTTTTGACGTCCATCTGATATAGCTCTAGATCATAATGAGCTACTAATGTCATAACTATTCGAAGGGAGTCCTTCTTGGAAACTGGAGAAAATATTTCCTCATTATCAATCCCTTCTTTTTGAGTGTATCCTTTAGCAACTAATCTGGCCTTGTATCTTTCAATATTACCTTTGGAATCACGTTTGGTTTTGAAAATCCATTTGCAACCAACAGTGTTGGATCCTTCAGATAATTCTACAAGATCCCAGACTTCATAATCCTTCATAGATTTCAACTCTTCATTTATGGCATTAAGCCATAGAGTTGATTTATCGCTACTTATGGCTTGAGTATAAGAAATGGGATCATTTTCCAGGCCAATATCATAATCACACTCATTTAAATAAATTTCATAATCATTCGATATAGCAGGCCTACTTTCTCTTTGGGATCTGCGTAAAGGTACTTCTACAATTGGAGTAGATTCCTTAATGTGGGAAGTTTATTTAATACCACAATTTTCCATAATAGATATAGGTGACACCTTATCTTGGACCACCTGTAATGGCATAAGAATCCGATCTTCCACAAAGGAAATTTTTCTAGGCTCAGTTCTCCTACTAACATCCCCATTTTCTAAAAACACAGCATGTCTAGTTTCAATAATTCGAGTACTATGAGTAGGACAATAAAATCTAAACCCTTTTGATTGTTCTGGATAACCAATGAAATAACAACTTATAGTTCTAGAGTCCAATTTCTTTAATTGTGGGTTGAATATTTTAGCTTCTGCTGGACATCCCCAAATATGAAAATAGTTTAAAGTCGGTTTCATACCAACTCATAACTCATAAGGAGTTTTAGGCACAACCTTACTAGGAACTCGATTTAAAATATGTACAGCAATCCTCAAAGCTTCACCCCATAAAAATTCAGGTAAAGAGGAATTACATATCATGCTTTTCACCATTTCCATTAGAGTACGGTTTCGACGCTCAGCAACACCATTTTGTTCAGGTGTGCTTAGCATTATATAATTTGCAACAATACCGTTTTCTTTCAAATATAAGGCAAAAGGACTTGGATTTTGACCTGACTCAGTGAATCTACCATAATATTCGCCGCCTCTATCGGATCTCACACTTTTAATCCGTCTGTCAAGTTGATTTTCAACTTCAGTTTTATAGATTTTGAAAATATCAAGTGACTCAGATTTTTCATGAATAAGATACAAATAAGTATACCTAGAAAAGTCATCAATAAATGTAATGAAATATTTATGTCCATTAATGGTTGAGAATGGAAAAGGTCTATATATATCAGTATGAATTGTTTCTAACAATAATGTCTTCCTTGAAGCACCCTTTTTCTTAAATTTTGTGTACTTCCCTTTTATGCAATCCACACAAATACTGAAATTAGAGAAATAAAGTGAATCAAGAATTTCTTCTTTAACAAGACGTGCCATCCTTTCTCTTGATATGTGGCCTAGACATTTATGCCACAACATGGATGAATTCTCACCCACTCGATTTCTCTTTTTCTTAGTAACATCATTTACATTAAAGGATAAAAGAGACTGTGTATAATTTGAATCTAAATTCAATGAATAAAGATTACCCTGTAGGATACCAAAGCCAACCAAATGAGAATTATGGAATAAAGAAACTATTTTATTTCCAAACTTTAATTCATAACCATAAGAATCAAGTTTCGGAACTGAAATAAGGTTTCTAGTAAATACTGGAACGTAAAGTGTATCTACTAAATCCATAATGAAACCAGTGTACAAAATTAGACGTAGAGTCCCAATGGCCTCAACATCTACTTCTGTTCCATTTCCCAATGTAATGGCCCGCTCTCCTTTATTTAGTCTCTTGCTTGTAAGGTATCCATGCATAGAATTTGTTATGTGAATACTTGCAGTAGTATCAATCCACCAAGTGTTTGGTGGAACATCAACAAGGTAAGATTTATAAGACGTAAATCATTGGGTTTTACCTTTCTTTTCCAACCAAGATTTAAAACCCTGACAATCTTTTCTCACATGACCTTTCTTATGACAGAAATGGCAACGCATCTTATTATCTTTCTTTTGGACTTGGTGAGCATCAACATTAGCATGTGAAGTTTTTTTACCTTTACCTTTCTTAAACTTCCTTCTATATGGGCCCCCAATGATAAGGTGAGCCATATCGGGTTTTTCAGCTTTGAGCCTCTCTTCTTCTTGAACACATATGGCAATCAACTCGCTCATCTTCCACTTCTTTTTCTGCGTATTATAATTAATTTTAAATGGACCAAATTGGGCAGGAAGAGAAGTCATCATGAAGTGAACGAGAAATCCTTCAGAGATTTCCATGTCCATTCCTTTCAATTGAGAGGCCATATCATTCATCTTCATGATATGCTCAGGAACACCACTTTGACCATTATATTTCATTGTCATCATTTTCATCATTAGAGTACTAGCAACAGATTTGGAAGTACCTAAAAATTGTTCTTCAACTGATTTCATATAGCTCATTGCATTATCAGAGTCAAAAATGGCTCCTCTAATTGTAGGCATAATTGAGCTTTTCATAATCATTAGACTCATGCGATTAGAGCACTCCCATTTTTCATATAAAGCCTTTTGTTCTATAGTACTTTCAACAGTAAGCTTTATAGGTGCAGGCTCCCGTAATGCATAGTCTAAATCCATACAACCGAGAACAATTCCAATATGTTCCTTCCATTTCTTAAAATTTGTTCCACTTAAAGCCTCAATACCAGACAAGTAACCAGTAATTGCAGTAGGATTCATAGTTGCAAAGAAATAATCTAACTAACAATATGTCATGCATGCAAATTAACACCACACTTTCAATAAATCAAACTAAAATCAAAATTAGTTAAATATAAAATCAATAGGTTTACCATATCATCATAAGACACCAATAATGCAATTGTAATTCTTTCGTTGGGCAGAAATACAATATATTATTAGTATATTTTCAAATATATATATATATATATAAGACATTAAAATCATCCTTACCTATGTCACCATAAATGAGGTTGACAAAGATGTAATGCATATCATATTCCTTATAGAATTATTTCACCTTTGGGCAAAAAAACTCCAATATGCTTTACATTAATCATAACATTCATTTAACCATAGTGATCCACCGTTGGACTGATCATATCTATATATGGTTTATAATATTGATCCTCCGTTGGGCTTATCAATACTACTTCAAAATTGAACACTTCATAATGTTAACCAAAAAATAATTTTATAATATCTAATCATCAATATTGTGCATTAATTGGGTTATACATAATCAAGTATCAAAATAATCTATAGAGATACTCAAGAAATTCATATAAGTTTCATGTATCAAAATTGAGAACTATGTCTCTGATACCACTTGTTAGACATAATAAGAAATACTTTAACAATACAATAATTAGCCCATTAGGATTCAACTTTGATGCACAAAAACACAATGAGTAATAAAATGTAGAAGTGGTAGATATCTCACCTTGATCCATTATGAGTAAGAGATTTTGAATCTTAGTTATTGATACTGACTGAGCCAAAAGTTAGATTCCATCTATTCTGAATAACCAATTTTGAAATTATAAGATCTTCAAACCACTTCTCCCTCTATTGTTAATGGGTACTAATTGTGGTGTTTCATTTCACAATTCACGTTATAAGAGAGTATAGTTTGGGACCCTTTTATATAACATTAGTTCATTAAAGTTAGTCTTCCCATAAAAGACTTTTATATTTTCATAAGAACGCCAAGAGTTACAAGAAATCTTAACTCTTCATTAGTTATTCATTAAGTGAACAATAACTTCAAGAGTTACTAAAGGATCACTTAACTTTTCATTAAGTGACCACTAACTCAAATTCCATTAGTGAAGTATTAATCACTTAATAAATAAAAGAGTATTTATGTAACTCAAATTACATTAGAAGTCTATCTATTTTTACACTTTTGGTTTTTCATACAGGTGCACTTAATATTGGATCACCTTTCAATTAATTTCTTAAAACCTTCTTCATGGAAGTATCTAATATAGCATATGTATAATAATGTAAAGGCCACATAAAAAAGATAAATTTTTAACATAAAATACATATATGGGAAGCATGGATGAATTGATAATTAATAGTATGGATAAAAACATACTTTTGGAGCCATGGATGAATTGCCAAGACATAAACAGATTGTCATTTAATAGGCATGGTTGATTTGCCAAAGTATAAATGTATTACTTGTAGAGGCATGGTTGAGTTGCTATAGTATAACTAAACATACTTCTAGAGGCATGGTTGATTTGTCAAATCATAAATCAATATTTGTGGAGGCATGGATGAGTTGCCAAAGTATAAATAAATCAATATTTGTGGAGGCATGGGTGAATTGCCAAAATATAAATAAATTGCTAGATAAGTTAGATGATTAGATATACACCTATGGATATTGTGTTTATAAGTTAGAGGTGATAAATATTGTTATATTATAATAAACTAATGTTTAAAGGATAATATATTATTTTATAGTATTGATAAAATAATATTAGTGAAGGCATGGATGAATTACCAAAATATAGATCTTTGTTATGTAATATTTATAAATAAAATCATACTGGATATTGTTAAAATCATTATGTTCACATTATGAGTTTTCTTTTAAAAGGGGAATGTATTTGATGGTTAATTTAAATATGGAGGTAGTCTTGTGATTGGTTATGGTCTTGAATTTCAAGGATTATATTGATGAACATATTCTTTATATATTTATATATATTATATATGTATCATCTTATATTAAAGGTTAAAAATTTAATTAGGATGATTTTGGTTAGAGATGTTTTATTTATTAGTTTTCAAAGGTTTGGTAGAAGGAACTTGCTCGTGGGTCTAACCCACGATTTATTTTTCAGGTTATTAGATGTTCCAGTCTCGAGGTTGAGGATCCGCAGCTTGGAGACTGTCATTCATCTACTCATCTTGTTTACTTTTTAGTGTTGTTATTTATTGTTAGATGTTTGGTAAATTAATAGTTTATTGTTGAGGAGTCTTTGACTTATAGGATTTCCGAGTTGTATTTAAGAATTTTAAATTCATAAAATTTATTTTTGTAAAGGAGGTATTATTTTATTAATAAAATTTCATTCAGCGATTTATTTATTCTTTTTATTCTTCATGTATTCTATGTTTGTTTAAATACTAAATTATTTTGATATTCCATTTTTTTTGGGTGTGGGTCTGGCCAACCTACACGTGGAAATTAGGGGGTATCACTTTTAGTTAGTTTGAAATTGTTGAGATTAGAATCTTGGATCTCACTGATTCTAAAACTTGATGGAGAATTGAGTTTGCTGTGCTGAATTTCTTTTGGAAGATCCTTCTATTTCGCTCGATCCAGGTATGGTACACCAAGGAAGCCAAACTCAGTTTGGAGATGGAATGACTATGGTATTTTGAGTTTCCCTTCCAATGATGTGCTGCCCAATTGATCAGCTCTGGCCATGAGGAGGGCTGGATATGAAATCCACAACGTGCTTGAAGGAATGCCCACAAGGGTTTGACAAATTGGCCCTGAAAGAATAAATGACTGTGGGTTTCCAATTCAGTGTTGCATAGGTAGCAAAGTGTGGAATTAATGTGGGAGGTACAACTTCTATTCAGTGTAGGTAGCTTCTGCTGGATTGCCACCCACAATGTAAAAGAGTGCCTTGGGATGGATGGTTTTGACCAAACAAGATGTTGCCAAGAGAGGGTTGTATGGTGCTTGTTGAAGTGTTTCATAGTATTTGCAATGGAGAATTTCCCATTGTGGGATGGGAGCCACATTGTTTTGTCATGTGTATTGGTTTGGGGGTTCGGAAGGTTAGTAGTTTGCTGTAATTGTGGAATGATGGAAGTTATAGATGGTGGGAAGGACAGGAATTGTTGATAATGAAAGTGCTAACCTTAGTTTTGCTGTGAAATCCGGAATTGTTGATTACCTGGCTGGATGACAAGTGATGAAGAGGACCAAGATGGCACCAATTGTCAAACCAAAAATTGGATCTTGAACCATCTCCAATTTTTAGGTTGACAAGAGGCTCGATTGTTTGCCTTAGGCTCAATAACCTTCTCCAATTCGTGTGCACCCCTAATATTCACACGGTGCATGGTTTAACTTCATCAAAAACTCATCTTTAGTTCATACTTCATTTTTTTTAAAAAAACTAAAAGTGATAGGCCATAGGAGAAATTTTACAATACTCCGGATATTTTGTTAAATGGTATCTCTGGTGATCAAAGCTTTCAATTTTCTTTAGTAAATAAAAAAGTGAAGAGTTTTGAGATAAACAAGAAGCTTTTGGCGAAGTGGTATCACTAGTCAAAATACTTCAAGAGCATTTTGGAAGGTGGGAATTGTAGGAAGGTGTTTTGTTATCGGCCACCCAATAAGTCTCATTTAACTACTTTGTGAAAACAAATATCAACGTGTCTACATCTAATTTTCTTATTGAAATTTGGACTTTTTACAAATGTACCACTCCATTGATAGATACAGATATGTGTATATATACATATATATCATTTAGTAGTAGATCATATATAATGTGATTATGTGAGGCGGCTGGAGGATCAAAATGCATCATTGAAAAACGTTGCATTATTGTTTTTCTTCTCATCTTTGTGAATTTCGTATTTGGTTAGCCCGATATGAGATCACAGTTGCTTGTCACGATGCAGAATTATATTCTATCAAGTGGAAACGGAGAAACTGATGTGACCGAATAAATTGACATAACTTAATAATTCAATGAACAAGATTTAACATATATAGTTCAACATTTCATTCAGTTGACGACACGCCGTCGATCTAGCAGCTGAAACTATACTTACACGCAATTAAGGTTTAGTTTTCTATTGATTCTAGAGCCAAAAAAAAATGTCGTTCTTGTTCCACTCTTTATTTTACTCCCTTCTTCCCTTGTTCTTCTCCTTAGTCTTCCTTCTGAAATGGTTGTCCAATCCAAAAACCAAAAGAAATCTCCACCTTCTCCATCAAAGCTGCCAATTATTGGAAATCTCCACCAACTTGGATTAAGCCCTCATCGCTCCCTCCAATCATTAGCTCAACAATATGGCCAGCTCATGCTGCTTCACCTCGGCAGCAAGCCTGCTCTCATCGTCTCCTCTGCTGATGCAGCTCGCGAGATCATGAAAACCCATGATCTCAACTTCTCGAACAGACCTAAATCAAGAATTCCCAGTAGACTTCTATATGACAAGGACAAGGTATTCTCTCCATACGGAGAGTATTGGAGGCAACTAAGAAGTATTTGTACGCTTCACCTTCTTAGTAACAAAAGGGTTGAGTCTTTCCGTAGTAGAGTGAGAGAAGAAGAAACAACCCTTATGTTGGAGAAGATCAAACAGTCGATCTTCTTCTTCTTCGCCAGTAAATTTGACAGAAATTTTAATCTTACTGACAAGTGAAATTCTTTGTCGCGTGGCCTTTGGAAAGAAATACAGTGACCGCGGGGAAGGTGATATAAAGTTAAAGGAGCGGTTTAGTGATTTTATGGAGGTCTCGGGTGTTTTCAATGTGGGGGAGTGTTTATTCCATTATTTTACCCAATGAAAAAGAGACAAGTGGCGAGTTTTGACAAAGCTTACCATATTGGTTTAATATTCTAATTGTCCAAGGAAAAGAGGATATGACATGAAATTGTTAATGTGGTTTCTTAAATAGAAAAGAGGTACGTGACAAGTTTCAATCTTGCCATGTTAGACTATAA